CCTTCACGTTTGACAGTAAAGCTGTACGACACTTCATGTGCCTTTCCCCTTCGTACTCGAAAACAAACGTTTTGCAATTTCGTCTAATGTGCGATAATAAAGCAAATTAAACAAAACAACAATGTTTCAATGGAACAGGATTACTGTAAGAAGACTTACCTTTAATTTTCTATGAGTTCCATCCTCCATATATATATATATATATATATATATATATTCCTCATGAATATATCAAGCCAAAAAATCCTAAGAGATAAAAACAGCAAAAAACAAATGTCCTCTATATTCGATGCATCAGCTCCTGAAACCAAATTAATGTTAAAAAATATATCACATTGCAATAATAGTTAAGATAATTTATTATATATAATTAGTTACTAATCAAATAATGTTTAATTCGATTTTATTCGGAAAATTCATTCTTACACTCAAAAGTGGCCCATCTTGAAGGAGGTACAACCGTACGATCTTGTTTGGCCTCCGATACGTAGAGCAGACTGAAGAGATCTGTTGCACCGTCAGCACTTTTACTAGATGTAATATTGTTTTCTGCATTAACCTCGTTCGGTGGAACCGAAAATATGTCGCTCATCAAATCTAATGAAGCCTGTTTAAAACGAACAAATATTTCAAATTATCGGGTTTACGTGCGAATATACTAATTATATGCAAAAATAATTACAAGTACAAAAAAAAATTGGACTATTTGTAGACCAAGTTATAAACCAAAAACCATGCGTACGATGACTTAATCGTAAATACTAATTGCTCTAAATGTGACGGGAAATTACCCCGCGATTTCGTATTATAGGAGCGACACGAGCCATTTCTTCGGTGAAAATTTCTTCATCCAAAGAGTATTTTCTTGCTTTCTTTGGAATTCCTTTTCTAGAAGTGCCTCCCGATTTATTATCTTGATTGACTGCAACCGATGGTTGCGGAGACGTTTTCGAAGCCCATTTTTTCTCAACATATCTGGAAAACAAAAAATTAATTTACTAAAAAAAAAAAGAAAATAACAATGCAATAAAAAATGCTTAAAGATGAGATGAAGTTACTTGGACTGAATGAACTTTTCAGTTGGATTTCTGTCAAAATGTGGCGGTAGTTCTGCTTCCCAGTAATCGTTCGACTTCACATTTCCCACCACTGCACGGTACAATATTAATTTTTCGATTGAACACGTACGTACACCTTTTTTTTTTTTTTAATTAACGAAAAGTAAATGCACTAAATTAATTGATTAGTAGGACTTACTCTGCATAAAAGAAACCTGCTCCGGAAGCCATGTATCCAATGTCGTAGATCTTACCTATTGTGATCAAACATAAGTCACAAAAGTGCTATATATTAAGAGATTATAAAAAATAAAAAAAAATAAAAAAAAAAACTCGAATTCATCATACAGATGAAATGAAAGCATACAAGATAAAAACCTTTGAGATGTGTACGCCAAGACTTCGATGTATACCAGAACATTGCATGCATATAAATATTCCGAGGTTGATACTCGCCCATCGTGGGCCCCTAATCATATTATTCGTATCGATCGCATTAACATCAAAATCATCAAAATTCAGCACTTTTATATATATAATATTAGCATATGTAAAGAATCGAATGGGGAGGATCGGAATATATGTACTTACTTGCTCCGGCAATCTGCACATTCCCTGTTTTCGGGGAGCTTAAGAAGACCTTCCAATACCTATTACGATTTTTTCCGATACATTATTAACGAAGATCGAAAAAAAAAAATAAAAAATTATCGGCATTTCAAGAATTTAAGTGACATGAAATCAAACAATATGAAACGAAAAGAGAAAAATAATTAGAAGGGTTGGTCACCTTTGCATGTTTGGCATTAAGCTCCTTGGAAACAGATGCCTTTTCATTCATCTCTCTTCTCTCTCTCTCTCTCTCTCTCTCTCTCTCTCTCTCTCTCTCTCTCTCTCTCTCTCTCTCTCTCTCTCTCTCTCTCTCTCTCTCTCTAAATCTGTCTCTTTCTGTTATTAACAAATGGTAAATTTTCACACACACCAAAATCAAAACAAAAATTCGCAAAAATTAAAACGCAGAGTAGAGAAACAGATGTATTAATTTGTTCGCTGTTACTTGTGCGTTGTTGTTCTTCTTCTCTCTCTTTCTGCTTCCCTCTCGTCAATTTTGGACATTTTTTTTAATCTGACAAAGGCTGAGTGATTGGCTTAACAGATTCCGAGGAATTCATGTTGAACTCCATTTTTTTGGTTTCCTTGTACTTCGGCATTGTGTTTTCATTTGGATCCACCAATTAATTAACTCTGTTATTTATTTATTTTTAAATACATATTTCCATGGCTTAATTAACTATTTGGCCAAGGAATTTCACTTTTCACCTATACCCTTTTTTTAATTTCACCTATATTATTAATTATTGCACCATATTTATGCAATAATTAATAATTATTGCACCTCTCTTATATTTACATTTTACATTTTTACTCATTGTTCTCTATTTTTACTGATCTTGTTTCACATTTATTAGCTTATAAAATCTTCTTGTAATTAAAGGATTCAAAATTTGGCATTTGTTAAATAATTTAGGGGAAATTACCCCTATGTATGATCAAATTACGAAAACCTGTTTGGTTAATTACAACCACCCCTTCAACTATAAATCTTCTTACACGTCCACCCTTGCGGTGTCAAATTTAGTGGAATCTTCTAATTTTTTATGAAATATTCTCAATTTTGTACTCGTTTTATCCCATTCGAACTTCACATTTTGAACAAATATGATAATAAAATGTGTTTTTTGACTTGTATATATTAGATTGCAGTGCATCAGAAACTGCATTTTTGCACAAAACGAGTACAAACTAGAGATTCCACGGAATCTAGAAGATTATGTTGAATTTGAAACCATAAGGGTGGACGTGTAAGAAGATTCATAATTGAGGGTAGTTGTAATTATCCAACATAAGGGTTTTTTTTTTCATAATTTAACCATACCTCAGGAGTGTGGTTGGAATTTACCCTATAATTTAAATATTTGGGGGAAAAAAGAAAAAAAGGAAAGCCTAGTTCCAAACTCACCCCCAAATAAATAAATAAATAAATGAAAATAAAAAATTATTTGAACGTGCATACAGATTCCAAACAGGGCAGCGAGCCAAGAGTGTGAGCGCGTCGATTTCAAATTCTCCCAATAAAGACGATGAACCCGCTAAAACACTTTCAAACATCAAATCCGAACGTTCAGGTTTCTCTCTCCTTCTCCGTAATTTGTGCAGATTAGAGGCTTGTTAGTGATTTGGGAGCCGATTTTATTTGCTGTTGTAATTTGTTTTTACATAAATTAACTGGAATTTTTTGATATTTCGTCGAATTGAACATGCTGTGTTGAGCAGTAGTTGATGGAATTTAGGTTTTTTTGTAGTTGTTCAGTTCAAATAGTTGATTCTGTTATTGAATTGGGGTTGTGAAAATAGCAGTTCTGGTGTTTCTGATTTAGTTTCATTTTTGGATCTCGACTTTAGATGGAGGTGCTTTACGCGAAGCTCTACAGCAAGTACACCAATCTGAAGGTCTTTCTTCTTTCTGTGTTTTTTACTCATGTTTTGATATGTAATGTGCGTGTAAATTTATAATGTTCTGAATTTGAGGTTTGTTCTTTGTCCTACTGCAGAAAGAAAAAGAATCTGAATTTGACGAGCTGAATCGTGATCAAGAAGTGAAATTCTCGAAATATGCGGATGGTAATCCTTACAATATACACCACTTTCCGTTGTTAAAAAAGAACTTGCAACCTCTGTTTGGTTAACAGTTTTTTTTTTTTTTGTTTTTACCTGCTATCTGCTATCTTATGAATTCTTGCATTCGTGAGTTTAGACTTATACGTAATGAATGTTCACATATGATTATGTGTGCATGCTGTATATCGATATCATAGTTCATGAAATGCCTGTGGAAGTTAATTAGCTTTACTCCTCACGATTCTCTATTACCAAATCTCTGGTGTTCTTCTTAGATAACACTTAGCTTAATTTGCCGTTTAAGATTCCATTATGATAGTGTTGTGCTAATTATTGACGCATTTGCCTGACCTGGCAGATTTCTTTGTCATAAAGTAAACCGGTGTCTTAAAGTTAGTTTTTGATGATTGAATCCCGTGATGTGTTACTAACGAAGCTGGATAAGCTTCTTATTAGGGGATCTCTAGGGTTTGTATATATTTCTGTCATTGATAAAGTGGTCTGATACACTTTAATTTTGAAGAGTTCGGAACCTGTTCGTTGGTTGAAGTTTTCGTGACTTTTTGTGCTAAGTCTAGTGTTCTTCTTACCTTGTCATTCATGTGGTCCACCACTTACTTTTTGCTCTTCGGCTTTCAGAAGCTGCGTTAATGTATAAAATTAACTTATCCAGCAATACATACATACATCGACACATTCACTAATAAATATATGAATTTACATATTCAAATATGTTCTGTCTTCGCACATCTTGCACTTGGATCTCTGTTGATTCAGTTATTGGATTCCAATTTTGTTGTTACCTCTTCAAATTTCATCAGAATTTTCTTAAATCATTTGTATATCTGTTAATGCAGCTGCAGATGAAATAATAGAGCACTTGAAAAGTGAGAACGAAAAGCTGACTGGACAAGTTGATGAATTGAAATATGAATTGGCTTCTAGTGAAGAACAGACTGTTCACTACCAAAAGCTTTTGACGGAAGAGAACCAGAAAAGTAAGGAACTAATTTATTGTCAAATATTAGATCGTAGTGACTGGCTTTTCGACTCGGTATATTTTTCAACTTTTCATGGTTTCCGTTCCTTAAATGAATGATTGGCATTTTTTGCTCTCTAAAATGCTGTAGATGAGGAACTCTCGAAAGAAATCAAAAGGCTCCAAAAGCTTCAAGACAACTCACATGACGATACCCCAGCTGAAGAAACGCACGATGGATCTCCTATAAAATCGACGAAAAAACGTAAATTAGTGCGTAGTACTGAAGACAGAGCTACGTCATCTGCTGATGTGGAACTTGACCGGCAAGCAGATCAACATATTATGGTTCACCCTGCCTGCTGTCAAAGAAAAATTAACGGTTCAGGTATGTCCGAATAGGAAAATTTCGTTTACTACATTGTGTCTCGTTGAAGGAATCTGACTATTTCTGTGTTGACGTTAGGTGGTGATGTGGCAGGCACTAGTTCTGTCAACTGCGTGTTTCAGTATCTTGTTGAGTTTGTAGTTGGCATGAAAGTATCGCCTCTTTCTCAAAGTAATGAACTATGTATATTGGTGCATCACCAATCGAGCGGTAATTTTTCGATTTATTTTAATTTGGGGGGAGCTACTTTTATTTGATATTACAAGTCAAAATGTTGATTTACACGGTGCAGGTTATTCGTTCAGCCTGACATGGATAACTAATTCAAAGGGCGAAGTAGAATTGCTATACCGTGTGTTGTCGTTGGGCACATTTGAAAGAGTTGCACCAGAGTGGATGAAGGAGACGCTCGTTTTCAGCACAAGTATGTGCAGTGTCTTTTTCGAGAGGGTTTCTCGTGTTATCAAAAGTTAACGGTTGACCGTTTTTCGTTTTTTTTTTTTTGTTTTTTGTTTTGTTGTTTAATGTGCTGAACAATGTGTGATCATAGTCCATCTGACCTTAGATAAAACATCATTGTACTACTTGTAATATATTCTGGAGAATTCGCTTAGAGCATTTTGATCATATATTCATAAATTAATAGATAATATAATTAAGACTTAAGTGCTTGTTAGAAATTACACGTGGACCAATCAAAATGTAAGCTCAGAGAATAATATAATTACGTATGCATAGAGATAAAGATTAGGCCCATTAGTTTTCTAAACTGAAAGCCCAAATACAGCAATGGAAGAATTAGGCCCATTTTCGTGAGAAATGGGCCTAACCCGAATTGGTAGGGAGAGAAGAAGAGACAAAGTTGAAAAACGGCGTCGTATCGAAAGATAAAAAACAATTGAAGACGACGAAAGAGACAGGTCTGTGGACCGACGGAGGAGTTGCTGAGTCACCGCCGGTGAGCTATCAGTTGGCGGTAAGTGCTAATTTGTCTCCGTAAGACCTAATTAGGGTTTCTTCACAAGGTTATACATTTACTTGACGATAACAGAAATTCTAATTGACGATAAAAGAAGACAATTCGGTAAAGGGGCAATAGATTAGCAATCAATCTTCAATATGATTAAGTTATCCTGTCATGCATTGCTTAAAACGACGTGACAAACGAGTGCCCAATTTTGAATTCAGTTTAATCAATTGGTTGCAGCCAGGATCGTTTTGGAGATGGCCGTTGAATTTGATGCATAGTCGATAGTTTTGGTGCATAATCCTTTGATTAAAATGGAGGGGTGTTCAACTTCAGTATCAACTGAGGTTCAAGACCCGAATCACCAAAATGCTGCTATTCGTGATTGCGCTAACTTACCGGATACATCTGCTTTGCCTCCTGAGAGTGAGGTGGAGGAAAAGCAAGAACAAGGGGGTGATAATGGGAACCAGAATGTGCACGAGGAAGAAGACGATGATGAAGATACGGATTTCAATCCTTTTGTTAAAGAAACTGATTATGTGGAAGCTTCTTCAAGCCTGAGTTCGGAAGTCGAAGACTTGGATACGGATGTTGCTGATAGTAGGGAAAAACCTTGTGCCGAAATTGATTTAAATTTCAAGGAAAAGCATGGAGATATTATGAAAGATTGCCATACTAGTAGAAGTGTTGAAATTGGAGAAGAAATAGTGGAGCAAACCACATTTTCGTCGGGAGAAGCTTGTGGGAAAGGGACTGGTACAACATGTGATGTGACTTCGGAGAAAGAATTGGTATTGATTCCTCAGTCGGAAAACGGATTTCTGTGTAGCCAGGAGAATAGGCTGACCAATTTGACAGATGTTGGTAGCAATGGTGCAGATTCCAAGAAACCTATGGTTGATATGGATACTGACGATGCCATATGCATGCGGACTAGGGCTCGATACTCTCTTGCAAGTTTCACACTTGATGAACTTGAAACTTTTCTTCAAGAAACTGACGATGAAGATGATCTTCAAAATGTTGATGATGAAGTGGAGTATAGAAAATTTCTTGCAGCTGTTTTAATGGGTGATGATTCCGAGAATTTACAAGGGAATGCAAATGCTGATGATGAAGATGAAGAAAACGATGCTGATTTTGAGCTTGAACTTGAAGAGGCACTGGAAAGTGAACCGGAGGAGATTGAAGAACGGCGCACGACTAGGCGGAATAGATCCCAAAAAGCTTCCCTTGCACGGAACAAGAAGCTTTCAGGACAGTTGAATAGACCATTGCGCCCTCTCTTACCGTTTGCATCAATTGGGTGTTTTCCAGCTTTTGATGGGAAAAACCTTCCGCCCAACATCGCTCCATCTTTTATGCCTCCTGTAAATATTGGGTTCACCCCGCATCAGATAGGACAGTTGCACTGTCTGATTCACGAGCATGTGCAGTTGCTTATTCAGGTGTTCTCTATCTGTGTTCTTGAGCCGGATAAGGGACATATTGCTGCTGATGTCAAGGAATTAGTTGTGGAGATGCTCGAAAAACGAGATCAAGTTTTGACCAATAAAATGATTCCATATCCAAGCTTTTGCTTCTCCCCACCATACATTCATCCTTCTGCCACAGATGGGCAGAAAATGTTGCCACCAAATGGTAGAGGGCTGCATTCGGACATAAGTTCCTCGTCAAGTCAAAGAAATAAAAATGTAATGTCTGAGCAGGCAAGCTCTTCTCAAACTACCGAACGCACCTCATGGGTACCTTACATTTGTGGCCCTATTCTGTCTGTTATGGATGTAGCTCCACTCAGATTAGCTGGAAACTATGTAGATGAGGTTTCTTCTGGTACGCCATCATATTAAACGAATATGTTTATTGTGCTTTGTCGGTTCATTGCTTCCTTCTTGTGCTTATATAAAATTTCCTATTTCTGTATAATGTTTGGCAGTTGTCCGAGCATACAAGCGATCTCAAATTGAAGTTGGTTTTGAGAATCTCCTTCAAAAGGAACCCTTGTTTCCTCTTCATAGTTCTCCATGTTCTGCTGAATCTGATGGTCAAGGTGAAATAGAGAACACTCCTCAAGATTCTAATAGGATAATTTCTTGCTCTCCAAAGAAGACAATGGCTGCAGCTCTGCTTGAAAAAACCAAGAACGAACCAGTTGCTCTTGTTCCTAAGGAGATTGCTAAATTAGCTCAGAGGTTTTGGCCATTGTTCAATCCTGCCCTTTATCCTCACAAGCCACCTCCTGCCTCACTTACAATTCGGGTGCTTTTTACTGATGCAGAGGATGAGTGAGTTGTATGCTTTCTTTTTCTTACGTTTCATCTAACATTTCAACTTTCATGGGATTCTACGTAACGATCATTTTTTATATAACCAAAGCTGTTGATATAACTGCATTTCGTAATTGGTATCCTCAAAATAATCCATTAGTCATAACTGAAGATATAGGTTTGTCGTGCCACATCGAAGTTGACAAGCATATGCCTGCGCTGAAATAATATGATAAGATGAAATTTGTCGACTATCCTTGTTGGTATTAATTATCAATGAGGTGCAGAACCTTTGTGTAGACAAATATTTAAAAATCAAACGTGCATAGTGTTCTCTTGCTAGTTGCTGTTGTATAAACAGATAGTTGAGAAACTATATCCGTGTAATGTCTTTGTTCAATCAAGTTCTAAATGTGAAGGTTGCTAGCATTACTTGATGAAAGTACCCATATTCTCTCGTGCACAGCAGTTTCTTCTTGTACACCTCAGTCTTCTCATCATGGGGGTTGTTTGCAGATTACTAGCATTAGGGTTGATGGAATACAATAATGATTGGAAGGCTATTCAGAAACGATTTCTTCCTTGCAAATCTAGGCATCAGGTAATGTATTTAATTGTGAACTGTAAATTTCAAGTCTGAATTTGTCTCGGTAGGGGATATTGTTTGCATATTATTCCCAAGAGTGTTGATGGAAAATATGTCTTGAATTTCATGATGAATACGATAACAGTTTCATGTGAAAGATGAATTACTATCCCCTCCTATTTCCGTAAATAAAGTTCCTTGATGAGAGAAGTCATGCTAATTCAAGGTACTGATATATCCTGTGAAACAGATATTTGTGAGGCAGAAAAATCGTTCATCATCAAAAGCACCCGGAAATCCAATAAAGGTATGGAATCATTTCTGATTGTACAGAGAAGTTGTTGCTGTGTGTTTTGCATCAATAAAAATAAAAATTTACCCATTTTTATCTCGTAGGCTGTGCGGACGATAAAAAATTCACCCTTGAGCTCTGAGGAGATAGCTCGTATTGAAATGGTATGCTCTTAAGTTCAGTGGCTCGTATAGTGCAAAGTTAACGAGACAATTACTTTCCATTCAGATATTTGATTAAAATGATGCAGGGGTTGAAAAGGTTTAAACTCGACTGGATATCAATATGGAGATTTTTCGTTCCTTACAGAGATCCTTCGCTTCTTCCACGGCAGTGGCGCATTGCTTGTGGCACACAAAAGTCATATAAATCTGATGCAACCAAGAACGCGAAGCGGCGCTTATATGCATTAAAAAGAAAAACTAGCAAACCTTCTACTTCAAATCGGCATTCGTCGACCGAAAAAGAGGTACATATAATTCTTAAACTCGATCTCTTGGTGTTTATCCAATTACATTACCTTTAAAATGGATTTCTATTATTTGTTAGAGTCGGTTATGTGATCAATATGCAGTTATGATCTACATGACACTGTTAACAATGATCCTGAGTGGACTGAATTCTTCATGTAGATTTTTTAGTTTGGTTTACTGAAGAGACCTTTTAGTCCTTTTTGTTTCTGGTGAAGTACAGGACCTGGATCATATTTGAATTTGATATATTATTTGTCTGTGATATTTAGGAACTTCTAAATGTTTAAGAGGTTTCGGGTTTATCTCTATCATTTTTCTTATATCGTTATTTCGTGCCATTTGCCAGTTTTTTTTGTATTTTATACGCTGGTTGCTGGGATTGTGAAAATGTGTACACTGTTCTTCGAATGTTTGACAAAAACTTATTTGATTTCTGCATAGAATATTATTTTAATTTTTTGTCGTATCCTCTTCCATGAAAAATAGACACGAGGAAAAACGTTTACTTTATTAGAGGCTTGTTTTTACTAAAAATACTCTAAAAATCTTCAGGATGATAGCACTGATAACGCCGTAGAAGAAACTAAGGGTGATAATCACTTGAGGAAGGAAGATGAAGCTTATGTTCACGAGGCGTTTTTGGCAGATTGGAGGCCGAATAACAATGTTTCTTCGAGTCTTCCGACTTCCCTCCCCTCTCATGAGAATTCTCAAGCCAAAGATATCCAACCCCAGATAATTTCCAACTCTCCAGCTGCTTCAAGGTAAATCTTACTGTGCCACAATTTTTCTCTCGGTGTTCATTGTTATGTGCTTGTCGTTTTAAGCTAAACTACTACACTTCTGATTTCACTTCAAAGACCAGCAAATTCTCAAGTAATCCTTCGACCCTATCGAACTCGTAGACCAAACAACGCACGTCTGGTGAAATTAGCTCCCGGTTTGCCACCTGTAAATCTCCCTGCATCTGTTCGGATTATGTCGCAGTCAGATTTCAAAAGCTCACAGGCTGTTGCTTCAGCAAAGATTTCTGTCAACACTTCAAGAATGGCTGGAGCAGTTGTAGAAAACAGAGTTGCCTCTTCAGCAAAATCTGTACCGAGTACGAGCAACTCTGTTTGTATTACTGCTAGTAATAAACGTGTAGAAGTACCAGAGAGAGGTGGTGATTCTGTTCTTCAGATGCATCCTCTGTTGTTCCAATCACCTCAAAATGCATCCTCTATTATGCCTTACTACCCAGTGAACAGCACTACTAGCACATCGAGTTCTTTCACTTTCTTTTCTGGAAAGCAACAACCGAAACTAAGTCTCGGTCTTTTTCACAATCCCCGACATATAAAAGATGCTGTGAACTTTCTTAGCATGTCTTCCAAAACTCCCCCCCAAGAAAATGCTTCATCGCTCGGTGTTGACTTTCATCCCCTTCTACAAAGAAGTGACGATATAGATACTGCCTCAGCTCCTTCAATTGCGGAATCATCTAGGCTAGAACGTTCTTCGGGTACAAAAGTTGCGAGCCTTAAAGGAAAGGTTAATGAACTAGACTTGAACTTTCATCCGAGTTTCACATCCAATAGCAAACACTCCGAGAGCCCAAATGATTCTTCTAAAAATTCGGGTGAAACTCGAATGGTTAAATCAAGAACCAAAGGAAGTAGGAAATGTTCTGATATCGCAGGTAGTAATGAATCGATTCAGGAAATTGTAATGGAACAGGAAGAATTAAGTGACTCTGAGGAAGAATTTGGGGAAAATGTAGAGTTTGAGTGTGAGGAGATGGCTGATTCCGAGGGAGACAGTTTATCCGACTCTGAACAAATCGTCGATTTACAAGATGAGGTAATTTTTTCTAGTACTGTGTCCATCTTCTTACAGTTGTCTTCTAATTGATCTAATTAAACTATGTGACTAGTTAGATGCCTTCTTGAATTTCTCACAATTTCTGTGAAATATTTTTGCAGGATGAAATGGATGTGGATATAGATAATACAAGTGAGAAAGTGATTAATGTGAAGCCGAAGATTCTATCTCTGAATCTGAATTCATTCCCACCACTTTCCCCAAATCCGAACGAATTTGAACCATTTGGTGCAACGTCAACATTTGCCCAGAATCGACCTATTCCTAGTTCAAAGGGCTCGTCTAGCAAGAATGTAAAACCAGGTCAAATCAAGAAGAGCTCTAAGGATACTACTTTACCAAGAAATCCCAGAAAACGTGTTTCCAGATCGAAATCCAATTCGATCCCGAAAATGGAGATGAATGTGGAAAAAAAGTCGAAGAATGTTAGTACAGATGAATAATGTTAACTGGTTGATGATCATTTATTAGTGTGCATTTGCCTCTCATCTCTCTCTTGTAATTTTTTTTTTAACTGTACATACTAGAATATTCTGCCATTTTATTTTGAAGAAATTAGCACGAACTGGTTGATTACACCACCACCCACCCCCCAAACACACAACACACACACAGAGACAACTGAAAAATCTTTATACAGAAAACAGTAGGTACTAACTCTCCTAACGAGGGTTGGTTTCCGATTTTTTATTTATTTACACTCTTATTCATGGGTTTCGGCTATGTTAAAAAGTTAAATCCGTATCTTTTTTTTTTCTATTGAATATATTTGTGTTCAGTTTAATATGTAAAAACTCATACTAGATACATTTTATTTATAAAAAAAAAAAATATAGAAAATTATTGGCTACAAAGCCACCTTCGTTCCTAATAATTATTACAATAAAAATTAGAGCAAATAGATAGAAATTGTTAGAGAAACAAACAATAAATTAAAAAAAATTAAAACTTCTTTTATTCAGATATGAATATTAAAAATGATTCAAAATGGTAAAAGAAATTTATATGAGTGATCAGAAAATATTAATTTATACACTTAATTTAATTTAATTTTTTGATCGACTAAATAAACTTGATATTGAAATATGACAAACAAAAAGTTCAAAACAAACAAGGAGTAGAGGGGTCAGGTGCTTATAGTGAGGAAGCTGGCAAAAAAGTTGGTGACAACTTTTTCTTGACCGTACACACAGCAAACGTGCACTGTGTGTCTTCTTCCCCAATCCTTTGTGTGTATGTAATGTATACATGAATCACCTAGCTCTTTGTTTCCTAATTCCTACTGGGTCTCACTTTTACTTTTTTTGAATATTTTTCAGTTTCGTTTGGACAGTCGAAAACAAGACAGATTTTCTTGTCTGAGGTTTGTTTCTGGGTTCCCTTTACTTTGCAAATTTCTGTAATTTCTGGGATTCTTGATATTGTTTTCTTAGTCTACTTTCTTGTTCATATAATCTGTGGTAAAATCTGTTTTTTTTTTTTTTTGTCTTCTGTCCGAAATTCATCAAATACTTGTGCAATTTTTTTACCAATTACTGATTTTCTGTCTGAAATCTGAATGCATGTATGTATATGAGAAAACTACTGTAATTATACCAGTGCCTATGTCTATGTGAGCTAGTTCATGTCAAAATTTATCTTGCCTTTTTCTGCAGCTAAATCTTGTAACTATGAATTGTTTTTGTTATTCGCAGTTTTGTTCGAAAATGAAGCTTCGTTGGTTCGCAAACGATGACATGCCGATCAACATACTAAGCCGATTGCCCGCCAAGACACTGCACTGTATAAAGTACGTTTCGAAAGAGTGGCTTAATCTGATCTCCGACCGCTCATTCGTCAAATTGCAGATTAAAAAAAAGGAACCCCTTTCCGGGTTTTTCTTCCAAGAAATATTCCAATGGGCAAACAATGAATCCATCAACTCCGTTAGCTACATTCCCGTCGGATCCGATAACATCAATGTGTGGCCCACCGTTCTCGATTTCCTCCCCGAAAATGTTGTCCTTTCGTCACTAAACAACGGTCTCTTGTGTTGTAGAAGTTGTCTCCCTTCATCCAATCCTAGTATTTATGTTTGCAACCCGTTGAACAAGCAATGGATGAGCGTCGAATGGCCTGAATATCTTCCACAAGAAAGCAATGTCGCCATAGTTTTCGACCCGTTTGAGAACCCTATTGATGTTTCAACACACTTCAAACTCGTGGCGGTTTGTAATACCGAAATTGGAGAAGACGAGTATTGCTTCTCGTTCGACGTTTATTCTTCAAAAACGGGTTTGTGGGCAAGATCGAAAGAGCGTTGTATGTGCAACCACAACCTCGTAAAAAACAAAGGGGTTCTTGTCGAAGGAGGGGTTTTGTATTGGCTGACAGACGGATACCAAATTCTTATGTACGATACACAAAACGAGCTTTCTTGGTTGGTTGACTTGCCTATTCCATCTACGCAGTTCACTAGTGTACCCGAAATGTGTATAGGAGAATCGAGAGGGGAGCTTTGCTATGTGATTGTATCGGAAGATGGTCTTCAAATGTGGGTTCTTGAAGATCGATTCGCGCCTCAATGGGAGTTGAAGATTTTTATGCCGTTGGATGAATTGGAGGAAGAGAATCCGAAAGTGCTGTACGGAATATCGGAGAAAGTGAGGAGTAGATTATGCAGAGACGAGCTTGCATGGATGGATCCTCTTGCGTTCAAAGACGGGAAGGTGCTTTTTCGGGTTTCGGCGAATGTCTACTTGTACGAGTTCGATATTCGGAGGATGAAGAAATTGTGTGATGTTTCGACTTTGGGTCCGAAATCTATGTATTCTCCTATCGTGTTGCCGTATAGCATGAGCTTGGTTTCGATTGGTCGAGAGTAGATCGAATCTGTTTCTTATCTTTTGTTTGCTTTACTTTTTAGTTGTCGTTCGAATGATCTTTAGTTGTAACTACGGAAAAAAAAAAAGATTGATGCAATCCATTGCAGTTTATGTAATGAATTTCAAGTTTTAGTTTTGAAGAGATATATTAATTACTCTTCATATAAAAAATGAAGAAATATAATTATAATCTTTATATAAAAAGGCTTACCATGTTAACTAGTTTTACAATATCAGTAGTCAATGGCAGCATGTAATTTTCTCTCTCATATTTTCTTTCCCAGTTACAGATTGTCTTATTACTCCATTGGAGCACCATTTGAATTTAACCAAGCTTTTTCCGACTGTGTGTTCTTGAAATACACAAATAGAAGTCATGTTAGTTTCTCAACTGAAGAAATTTCACACAGTAACAACCACCTACGCCACTACCCTGAAGGAATGCGTGGGGACTTCAAACTTGAGAAGGGCGAAAATGGTCCACGCAAAACTCATCAAAACATCGGATTTCGAGTCGGACTCCATCTTCATCCACAACCATTTGATGAATGCTTATGTGAAATGCGGAGACATCTCTGACGGTCACCAGGTGTTCGATGAAATGCCCGAGAAGAACGTAGTGTCATGGACGGTTCTCATTGCTGGTTTCGTGCAAAAGAATTTCCCGACCGAAGCAGTTTCCCTTTTCTCGGATATGCACAGGAGCAGCATTAGCCCTAACGAGTACACATTCGTCAGCACACTCCATGCTTGCTCATTTGCCGAGAGTTTAGACTTAATTTGTGCGCTTCAAGTTTATGGATTGATCATTAAGCTGGGATTCGAGAGCAATGTCTATTTAGTCAACGCGTTCTTGACCGGTTTGATCAGGCACGGTAAGTTGGACGAAGCTGTACGCCTCTTCGAAGGGTGTCTTTATAAGGATATTGTTTCGTGGAATGCTATACTCGACGGTTATTTGAAATTTAAATGCGAGGATATACCAAGATTGTGGCAAAGAATGATTCGTGTAGGTGTAAAACCAGACGAATTCACTTTCGCCACGGCTCTCACCGGATGCGCCGAGCTATCGAATCTTGAAATAGGATTGCAAGTTCATTCCTTAATGGTGAAAACAGGTCACGCAATTGAAAGGTGCGTGGGGAATGCTTTAGTGGACATGTACTTGAAGAATCGAAGGCTCGACGAAGGTTTTCGAGCTTTTGATGAGATTTCTACAAAGGATGTGTGTTCCTGGACTCAAATGGCTGCAGGGTGTTTGAATTGTGGTGAGCCAATCGTAGCACTTAAGGTGTTCGATGAAATGTCGAAGGCCGGAATTACGCCAAATAAGTTCACTCTTGCAACAGGGCTTAACGCGTGCGCTAGCTTGGCTAGTTTAGATGAAGGGCAAAAAGTCCAAGTCTTTGCTATAAAACTCGGCGACGAAATCGATGTGTGTGTGGATAACGCATTGCTTGATATGTACGCGAAATGTGGATGCATGGAAGGTGCGTTGAGGGTTTTCAGATCTATGAAAGAACGTACCGTGGTTTCTTGGACGACTATGATAATGGGGTACGCTCAAAACGGGCTTTCCGAAAATGCCCTCGAGATTTTCGAAGAGATGACAAGAGTTGAAGGAGAAAAGCCGAATCATATTACTTTGATATGCGTGCTGTATGCTTGTAGTCAAGGGGGGTTTATCGATAGAGGGCTCGAGTATTTCTCTTGCATGGGGAGTGATTATGGTGTTGTGCCTCAAGAGGACCATTATGCTTGCGTGGTGAATCTTCTTGGTCGGGCGGGCCGGATTAAAGAAGCCGAAGAGTTGATTTTGAAAATGCCGTTTAGAGCAAAGAGTGGGGTTGTTTGGCAAACGTTGCTCGGGGCTTGTAGGGCCCACGGGGATGTAGGGACGGCCAAAAATGCAGCGAGGCGTGCGTTTGAGATTGATGAGAGTGATGCTTCGACTTATGTGCTGTTGTCGAATACGTTTGCTGATTCGGAGAATTGGAGCTGTGTGGGGAAATTGAGAGAGTGGATTGAGAATAGGGATATCAAGAAAATGCCCGGCTCGAGTTGGCTTGAAATAAACGACGATCGTTGATTTATTACATTGAAAATGCAGAGTTTCAATTATTTGTGTTTTTGTTGACATTTGTATGCACCTATGTTTTCAATGATCTGTGTAATATATAATCTTACACAGTGTTCATTCCAGCTTTGCTTATTCTCATTGTGAAAGAAAAAAAAAATCTTACAAAGAATTCTAAAAATAAATTCGAAAAACATAGCAACATTATTCTTCACAGTGCTCGAGTGAATTTATGATTCGAACCGTAAATTTCCGAACAACTCAAAGTGAAGTGTGTCGTAAAGCAATTGATGATAAATTAAAAATAAAATTAAAGCCCGGAAAACAAATAGTAAATACGGTAGCTTATAGCATAGAGTACATCTGCGTTTTCATTGGCCCGTGAACCCTCGTCGTTCGATCATCTCAATAGCCTTGTCCTGTTTCAGCTTATTCACAATTCGAAATGTATCGGGATTATTGAATCTGTCACGAACAAACTTTCTTTCTTCCGCTTGAATCTCTTTGATAGCGCTCGGATATGGATTTGGAGGGGGCCTTTTCCCCTGAAGACGTGCGATTTGCTTCAGCCGAGCATATGCTTTCTTTTTCGATTTTCTTTCAGCTCGATATTCCATCTACGACAAAAGTAACAACCATTTAAGTTTAGGGGAAAAAGAATATTCCATTTAACAGTAAATGAGAAATTTTTGCATACATCTGCAACAGCCATTGCTTCATCGTCAGCAACACCCTGCTCCTTTAACTCGAGAACTCTCCAAGCAAATACACGGGCTGAAGGTGGATTGAAACCGGATATTCTGTTGCAATGTGTACAAGTGGAAATGCGTTTTTCAGTAAATCGATTCGAAAAGGTTTAATTTATTTGATGTAATTGGTAGCTGCAACAGTGAGAAAGAAAGAAATTCAAAAGCTCATAAAAACGGAAAATCTGCCCTTCACAGCAGCAAAATTCATGAATTCAAAATCACGTTCCGTTAGTGAAATTGGCAACGTTTATCCCAAAAGATAATCCATTTCATACATTGAGTTCAATGGTTGCACCCAATTTTCTTCGGGAATAAACAAGCAAGAAAAATTAAAATAACGTGTTAAATTCTCCATCGGTCTCACCTTTCCAAACGTTTTCTAGGATGCACATGCCTATGTAGGGAACCTAAATATCTAATAACAATGGCTTTTCCTGCATATCTGCCAGCTACTCTCGATCATAAATCTAACTCATATCAGCTAAATTCCAATGCCTATCAGTCGCGTAAAACTTGAGCTAATAGTCGAGAAAAGATCAATCTACGTTGAGTTTAAACTTTAAATAAGCTCGTTGCAGCTCCACTAAACTACCTGAATCTCTAAACAACGGCACTCGAAAGCTAAAGCACAAGAGATGTACAAACAGATTTTTAGTTTCCAAATTCAATACCAACAACAAAACGAAGCACTGTAGTCTGCAATTCAAGTTTCGATAAGATTGGCAAACCGTAGAGGAATATAATACACCCCACAACCAATCAAGTGGAATTACTACTCTAATCAACTACTTTACGAAACAAACATCATATTACAGTCTTAATTTCCTTTCTCTTTTGTCTATAATCAAATAATAAAAAATAAAAAAAAATCAATCCTGCAAGGTAGAAAAGAGAGTGAATCAAATTACTTGATAGCATCTTCAAACTTGGAATCCGGATGCTTCTGGAAAAACTTATTGACATAAGTGTCCTCCGGGAAACTTATCGGTTTCACCTTACTTTCTGCGCGAGGGAATGTTGCAGGTGGAGCCCTAATTCAAAAAAATTGATTGAAGAAACAAATAAAAAATTCATCATAATTCTGCAACATTTTTTTGTACCAATCCAGCAATAAGAATCTGACTGATAAAAGTGACGTACTTTTCCATGGCTTTAAGCCATAAAGGCTCGGATTTAGCAAAACCCTTGACGAGTTTCCGAGTTTTTGAGAGCAAATCTCCTTTCATAAACGACATCGATTCCAATCTATCGATTAAAGCTGCACCAAAAAAAGGTAAATCAGACAGAGAGTAACGATTGGAAAATGAAGAACATATGAAATGAACCCATACGACGTCGTAGCAGCCTTGAATCAGCAAGTAATTCAGCTAGCTGTTGTGGGGAAGAAGAAGAAGAAAAGGTAAATTCTGATGGGCAGAATGAAATTACGTAATTGGAATGGGCCACAATCAATGAAACTGGCCCGGCCCATATAAGAATTATCATTGGCCCAATAAATCAATACAGAATGATTTTAAAATTAAAATCAAAATTAAAATGGTGTTGGATGAAACTTGAAAGTGTTCGTCTCTGTTGTTGTTTACTCGCTCCGCCCCACTCTCTTTTCTTCTCTTCATCTGCAAATTTTGTTTTCCCTCCATTTATTGTGCTTCCGCCGCCGCCGCCGCTATCAACCAATCACTTACTGTCTCCATGAAATGGATGACAAGCTGCCGGTCAGTAATTTTGCGGACCTAAAAAACATAAAGGTTGGATTTTTATTTTATGGGTGCCTGCTTCTTTCCAAGAAATTCTTCATTCTCTCCAAAATTTTGGGCAACCCCTAAGTTTGATTTTCTTACAAGGTTCGTAACTGTAAATAACAGTAGCAGCAGATTTTCGTGCAATATGATGTACAGTCGTGTTTCTACACTTCCTTTATCGGATGATTCTGATTGTTCCACTTCGAATTCCGAAAGTAATTCGGAGAGTGAAATTACTGTTTTAAGAGAAAATAACCGTGACCGTAAAAGCATTAAGCTGTTTTCTACTGTTGTTAGAGTGTTCAAGTCTTTTAATTGGAACGCAGCGAAAAAATTATGTTCCGCCAAGTCTGTGGAGAAATACGGTATTGATCGATGGGTAGCGGCTTTTAACGTTGTTGTTCGTGTATACGCGTGTGCGGAAATGCAAATGGAAGTTCACCACTTGCTTAGGGAGATTGTTTGCTGTTATCAGAAAGCTGGGCTCGATTTGTTTGATATACCGTATGCTTTATTAGATTCCCCGAGTGATGCAGAAGGGTCAACTTTCTTGGTCAATGAACTCGTCAAGGTTTTTGCTTCGAATGGGATGTTAGAGAATGCATTGGATGTGTTTACGCAAGCCAGGAGAATTGGGTTTCAACCTGGTATTCGGTCGTGCAATTTCTTGCTTAAATGTTTGGCGCAAGCCAATGAAAGGGAGATTGTTATGATTTTATTCGAAGAAATGAAGAAATACGGACCGTTTCCTAGTGTGTATACCTACACAATTATGATGAATTTTTACTGCAATTATGGTCGTGGTAAAGAAGGTATTTATGAAGCAACTAACATTTTGGAGGAAATGGAGACAATTGGGATCAGTCCATCGGTTGTAACTTACGGTGCGTACATTCATGGACTATGCAGAGTCGGACTTATTGATGAAGCTTGGGGATTTATCGAAGAATTGAAACGCGATAATCAGCCACTAAATTGTTACTGCTATAACACGGTTATTCACGCGTATGTAAATAAAGGTGAACAAGATATGGCTATGCAGGTGTTTTACGAGATGAAGAAAGGTTTGGTTGCAGCAGATGCATATAGTTATAGTATTTTGATCGAGGGTTTTTGTCGATGTGGGAATATTGACAAAGCTCTTAGTTTGCTTGAAGAGATGGAAAATAATAATATCAAACCTTCTCGTGTCACGTATAGCTCGATTTCAAAAGGCTATGCAAAACATGGGTCGATGCGGAACTCGTTCGATTGGTTCCAAAAGATTGAAAATTCTGGTTACAAGTACGACCAGCATGCGTACAACATTTTAATTAGTGGATTTTGTGATCAGGGCGACATGGGTTCTGCGAATAAGGTTTTCGAGGCGATGGTCAGAAATAAGTTGGATCCTAATAAAAGCAGTTACAAGCCTTTAATAGTGGGGTTCTCTAAAATCGGTGCGTTTGAGAAAGCCTTGAAGTTTTTCAATAGCATGGAAGATGCGGGTTTTCTTCCCGATTGCTTTACATGCAACCACGTGGTGAATGGAATTTGCAACGAAGGGCGAGTGGGTGAAGCTGTGAAAATGATTAACGCAATGTGGGGCGTAGGCATTTCTCCGAATGTGTTTACGTATAGTGCGGTTATTCACAGGCTGTGCAAAGATCGGAAATCGGACGAGGCACTAGTGCTTATTCCACTAATGCTTAAGTGTAACGCACTCCCTAATGTTGTGACTTATAGTATCCTCATCGATGGATTTGTTAAGCAGGCGAATCCGAGTAAGGCTCTTGTGATTTACGGGAAAATGTTGAAAATCGGGATTTGTCCCGATTTAGTCGCGTACGCGATACTCGTTAATGCGTTATCCACTTTTGGAAGGGTGGATGAGGCGTACAGTGTGTTCGAAGAAGTGATTTCTAAGGGCTTGAAACCTGATGAAATCTTTTACACGATCTCTTACACTTCGATGATAGCTGAATTATGTCGGAGTAAAAATATGAAGAAAGCTTCCGGTCTCTTTAAGGAAATGGAGAGAGAAGTTTCGCCTTCGGTTGTTACTTACACGTGCTTGATTGATGGATTTTTCAAGATCAACCAAATGGATAAGGCCGAATCGCTCGTAAAAGAAATGGATAAGAACAATGTGTGCCGTGATAAAATCGCCTACGATGTTCTCATTCATGGGTTTCGAAAACATGGATGTGAAGATAAAGCTCAGCAACTAATCGATGAAATGGAGTATAGGGGGATTACTTCTTGATCAAGGTACCTGGAAAACGTGAGGGCTTTTTCACCTTGTATGCTGTTCAGAAAGGGAGCACTGTCGGATGTGCGCTTGTCTTAACATCGTACCACATCGAGTTCTACTGATGCGCGTACGTTTTATTCCGAAAAATACGGAAAATAGCAAATTACATGGTATATCTTAACTCATATTTACCTACCCCGTTACTGAAATCCATCCAATTAGTGCAATATTTTTCACGATTTAAGTCTTGTAGATTAGATTGAGAGCATATTCTCTTCTGTCTGAATTTTTTTAATTGTGATTGGAAGTTTTCCACCATTCAATATGATAAATACGTGACGATTTTCTTGATAAATACGGTATTGTAGCTATGTTCCTTTTTCACTTACGAACCATTTGTTGCTTCAGGGTATTCAAGAAGAGTAAAAGTTATGGTGGAATTCAACGAGAAGCTTTTCTCCACCAAGTTAAACTTCTTAACGAAACGATGAAGTTCGTGTCAAGTCAGTTCAGATTATGCAGAGGATCAAGTAAGTACTCAGCTTGAAGTATTTAAGGTTGTCCGAAGCATGATATTTTTCATCTGTAAAGATTTAATCTGTTTTACATTTTTTGCTGCGAATTACAGTTCAATTGTCTGCGTAATCTGTTTCATATGCTGCATGCAATATTTTCTTTAGATTCGAAATGTTTTGAAAACTGCTGCTGAATGCCATTTTTCTCGAATATGTAGCATGTTAGACGGAGCAGTAGTTGTTCGTTTGTCTGTTCGAATTTGTGTTCCTTTACTTGATAGTCACCGTAATACAACTTGTCAACTTCATTATCATCGATAAGCCATTGATTGAGCTAAAACTTAACAAGTGCTCGAGAATACTTACAGTTCTCTCTCTCACACACTCACACACATATTACATAATTTGCATCTTGATGAAAAACAAATGCAATGAACAGGTAAGCTGGATGCATGATGATCTGGCAATTGGAGGTTCTCTGGTGGCAAAAAAGATGGCTCAGATGAACTCTTGCTCACTTTTGTCAACTATATGGGATTTTCTTGCTCTTGGTCAACTGCAGTTTTTAGGACAAAGTCAAAGTGGTGTTGTAATTATTTCTGTAAATTGTAATGGAATTTTTTTAATTAACTAGATTCTCCATTTTCTTTTTAATCTTTTGAAAAACTTTTGGATCATAATCAAAATTATTTATAGAATTTTCGATTGGGTTTTAATTTCCAAAAATGTATTTGTAATATTAATATGATTACATATTTATGTAATTTATTTTAAATATTATATATGTAAAACAATCATGTATAAATTATGTAAGTGGCATTATAATGATGAAATTTTATATGGCTAGAATATTCAATAATCTTGGAACTTTGGAAAATCATAATAATATGAATATGAAATTTTTGAAATTGGAATCAAATTTTCACTCACAAAAAAAGTCAAAAATTGTGTTTATAGTAAAAATTCTATTTTGAAAATGTTACTTAATATATTAATTAGGATTTTCTTATTGCAAAGATTTAATTATATTAGAAGATCTAGTTAGATTGTGTCTTTAATACGAAATAATATAGCGACTTTATCAAAGGAATTCAAAAACACGTTTTTCATATTGTTTTGTTTCCCCAAACAGCAACGCTGCATTCGTCGTCTTTATCAAAATCTTTCCCAGTCTCTCTCTCTCTCCTCTCTCTCTCTCTACACAGATTGTTTGATACCCGATAATCTCTCTCTAAAATCCATGTCTTCGGCGGGTATTCCGGGCGGCGGAGGAGGAGGCGTCGCCGCCGTTCCTCATCAATATTTCTGCTACCAATGCGATCGCCACGTCTCCATCGTCCCTCCAACCTCACCCACCGCCGAAATCGTTTGCCCCAACTGTCAAGGCGGCTTTCTAGAAGAATCGGATTCTCCTCCCCCCTCAATCGCTGATAATCCCATCCATAACCCCTTTTTCTCCGACAGTTTCCCTTCCGCCGCTCCCTTCGGTGGTTTTCCTATCATCCTCTCCTCCGCCGGCGCCGGCGCGGCCCATGCCGGCTCGGCATTCACCATGTCCTCCGGTGGCGGAGGCGGAGGCGGTGGATTTGATGATCTGTCGGCGCTTTTAGGATCCCGATCTCCCAATGAATTCAACCCTTTCTCGTTCCTTAATAACTACATCAATAACCTGCAATCGAGGGGGGCAAACATTCAGCTTGTTTTCGAATCGCCTGGAGGCGGTGGATTGGGCGGCATGGGGGCTGATTTTCGTATTCCTTCGAATTTAGGGGATTATTTTATTGGTCCTGGTTTGGAGCAATTGATTCAGCAACTCGCCGAGAATGATCCAAATCGATACGGCACACCACCTGCTTCGAAGTCAGTGGTCGAGGGTTTGCCCGATATAAAAATCACAGCGGAAATGTTGGCTTCGGATTCTTCTCAATGCGCAGTGTGTAAAGACAGCTTTGAGTTAAATGAGGAGGCGAAGCAGATTCCCTGCAAGCATATCTACCATAAAGATTGCATCTTGCCTTGGCTTGAGTTGCATAATTCTTGCCCTGTTTGTAGGTACGAGTTGCCTACCGATGATGCTGATTATGAAAATCGAAGAACGGGGCAGAATAACAATAACAGTGGTGGAAATCAAGACGGTAGAAATAATAATATTAATAATAGCAATCCGCAGACGCCACGTGCAATGGAAAGGATGTTTAGGATATCACTTCCATCTATTTTTGGGGGGTTTGGTTCACCAGCTGAGACGAGCAATAGCGGTGGAGGAGCTGGAAATGTTCGTGGAGGTAACAACAACAACAACAACAACAACAACAACGGTGGTGGTGGTAGTGGACCGTCTAATTCTGGCTCGGGTAGAGGAAACCAGGCTAGAGAGGAGGATCTCGACTGAAGTATGTTGTTGTTTGTACTACGGTTACTTTCTTTACTTTTCGTGATTGAGGTGATTTACTGCTTTTAACTGTGGTTTAATGTGAAGTTGCAATACATTGCTTGAATGTACAAGGGAAATGAGGAGAAATTTTGGTGGGTTTTTTTTTTCTTTTTTCTTTTTGATATGGACAACATGGTTGCTTATTCATAGTTTGAAAAAAACGTACGATATTGTTTTTCGTAGCCTGTGATATAGATTTCCTATGTTTAGCGTATTGGGTAATGAATAAATAAAATGCATATACATTTGAGTATTGACCCAAGTTTGTCTCACATTGTGTGGTTGAGTGTCAATAGTTGCTCGTAAATTGTTTCATTCGGTTAGCTGTTGTTGAGAATTGTGGTTGATAAATAGATTCTTCTTTGTATTAACTACTGATAGTTCTCTGAGCTCTCTGAATGATAGACTAGCTTGAGTTCGAATGCTTTACTTTTCTCTCTTGTGGACCTGTCGGCTATTTCGTAGCTACATTCACTTTAACTTGGCCTGGATGTTTATATCTTATGATAATACCAGCTGCTTTGATTTAGTTATGCAATGTGCGTGCCATTTTTTGTTGTACTCGTTCACTCGTTTCTTGAATACAGTTGAGTAACAGCATAATCTGATTTGATGTACTTCAAAATGATTCCAGATTGCAAATTTGAGGATAGAAATGAGTTTTTGAGTTCAATATGCGTGGGTTGAGTATAAATTGTGGCAAATTTGTCTTGGGTTTTTACTTTTTAATAATCTGAGAATGTGTAGCACTTTGATTAACGGGTGATGGTCGATTTAGGTGCTATAATTTATTTCTTTAATCCTGTTTCCTTACTTGGGATTTGCAGAAGTTTAGTCCAGACGAGATGTTGACAAAACTTGTTAATAATATTTACAAAAATTCGCAGCATTATATATATATATATATATATATATAATTTTTTTAATAGAAAAACATTCAGAGGTATAATCAAAAGGTATCGAGGTAATTAATTATCCCGAAAGAAACTGAAAACATGCAAATATGTAAATTCAACCCCCAGAAATACAGTCTCAACAAAACAAACAATGACCAAATAATAACTAGTAAAAGAGATGGTGAAATAACTTGAATTTCAACTTTGTCAATAAACTCGTTGAATAACAGGACTGCCATTACTGCTGCTAGTAGATGCCGATGGCGGATCAGAAACAATAAATGGAATATCTAACTAGTTCTGCTAAATACACAACTGGCTGGCTGAAATAACGAAAATGGAAAAGAGAGAAGTATCTCCACTTTCTTCATTGAAATTCTGAGTCAGCTTCAAAATACCATATACAGGTAAAAATAAATATATGGACGAGCGTCTGTTGAGCGGAATTAAATACGGCCGCAATTAGGCTTTCCTCAAATGTCACGGGGGAGTCAGAATATCACCTTCGCAGAACTTCCACGACCCATCGCCTTGCCTCTTGAGAAGATACCGTATTTTATATGGGCTGCAACCAACGAGTAACATATTTACAAAATGAATCCCACAAACTGATCAAATGTGAATCATTCCCGTATTCAGGTGTAAAATAATACTACAAAATAGTCAAATGCATTAAAGAAAGAGGAAACATCACTCAAATTCTTCATTTTTTGCAGGAAAACTTCTCCTTTCTTATTCCAGATTCAACTCCTAAAATGATGTGCTATAAGAATGCCAAATTTATGTAGAAATTTGCCAGATTACTCTCGCCCGAATTTTATTATGCTTCAGTATTTTCGAACAAGTTATCACCTAATTAGATGCTTTAATAATTGGCCTCAATTAGAGACACCTTAAACCACATTCATTGACACGAATAACATCCCTAGTTGCAGGCATAACAAAATTACCCAAAATAACGAACAGAACATATCTTCATGTACTTGTTATGGCAAAGGATTTCTGAATACCTGTAGTAAGTTGGATTTTTAGGCTGGGATTCATCCACCAGTTCGGCTGCCTCTTCCAAGCGAACTTCTATTTCTGCCATTTCCCTTCCCATCCCATCTTCCAAAACATCTGCGTGTACGATTGTCAATCGCAACAAGACGAATCTCCAAAAGCACGACCTTCCTTTTGCTGCATCAGCCAACGCTTGCCACTACAACATATGCATTGACCAGTTAAGTTAATAAGAAGCGTTAGCTGGTGACATAGTATTCCAGTTATCAGGATTTGATTAAAATCATACATTCATCGTAAATGCTAATTTTCCCAACACCTAAAAATTTTATGGATGCCAAAGGATCGCACCTTAGCTAATAGAAAACTTAGATTTGAAGTGCATTTCTTTTAACCCGGACATCAAACAGAAGGTATTAGATTAGTTCTTATGCATTGACACGAGCAATGTAGCACGGATTTGTGATCGAAATATCACGAGTTAACATGAAATACAAATAAGGTGTCACTTTACCAAAAATGACGCTATAACATTGGAAGTCTGTAAAACTAGACATGTTAAAACACTGGAATGAAACATACGGTATATCCTTAGGACAATTAGCCAAAAACAAACTCACTGGATAATGAGATGGATCTCACCTGAACAAGCATTGATCCTTCAAGGATATCAACAAGCCCACCAGTATCATGGTTAGGCCCAAGCGCTTCTGCTTTAATTGCTTGCCATTGCTTGACAAGTGTCTCAGCTTCTTCAACAGGCATTGGTTCCCTATAAGTTGATGTTATTGAAGAAGAAAGGCCAGAAGAGAGTGAAGCAGTTTGGATATCTGCAGATTCTAGATGGTTCCCAGACTGCATTTTAAGACGTGAGAGAACTTTCTTGATTTTTCTCGTAATACCATTTTGCTTAATAATTGCACGTCTATATCTTAAATCAATAGGAGAATCAGCAACAGTAGAGGAGCTTGTAGAAAATCTTTGCTCATCCACTCTCCATCTAGATCCATTTGCAGGTCTCCATAATTGCACGTTCAATAGCTTAAATAGAGCAAACAAGATGCAGCCTAATGCTGTAGTATATATCATCTTTCCAACTACGTGACTGGAGCTCAACCAAATTTTCCATACTTCACGCTGCTTTGAACCCAAAGTTCTTTTCAATTGAATAGATGGTGAGCCAGCAATGCCTTTTCCCTCCATTAGTGGACTTTGCAGATTAGGAGGAGAAAGCTGCTTGACAGCTGGACCAAGATGGCGTGAATAATCTGTGAATGAAACCGAGTCTTCATCTCTTTGATCCAGTGGAGGAGCAACAGCAAGCGATCTGAGCCTCATGTTGGATAAAGTTGGAGGAGCTCTTTTATCTTTTCTGTTTCCAAAAGATCTTTTTTCCCCATTAAAGAAGTCCGCCTATAATTGCTATTCGAATTTAGTATTTGATAGAGGAAAACAAGAAAATTTAGATAGTATAGTTAAAAGCTTTTACCAAAGATGGGGAACAATCTCGTGTATCCGGAAACAAGCCAAGAACAGCTTCTTTCAACCATGTTTCCTGTAAAATCAAAACACAGTACCTGAGAAGCATCAAACTTACGACACTACAACCCCTGTAGAACTTTAAAAGTTAATAATGTTATAAAAAGTATATGAAGTTGTCGAATAGCCCAAATTTCTATTGTTCCGTTTTTTTGTTTTCTATTGAAGCAATTGGAGAGTTTAACTATCTTGGTTAAAAGTAAAGGATAACAAGAGAGATTCAAAGCAGCATCTGTTTGGAATGAATTTATCTTGAATTACTCTGTGACATAAAATATGACTAATGATTACAAGGTGACGAAGGACACTTAATTCTTTGTAAAACACGATAGAGGAAGAGTATATATAAAAAGAACTTGTAATGACAGGGACATCTACCAGTGGTTTGTTCCCACTTGAAACTTCTCTGGTTTCTTTCAGTTGCAGTGACTTTTGTGAACTAGGACTCGAATTCAATTCAAGCTGCCTCAGTCTTTCAACAGCCGTTGCTTCATCACCCTGGACAATGGGCACTAAAATTTTGTCAATGCTGGTTTAGGTTAAAAAACAAAAATAGCGCAACAAAGAAGAGAGAAGGAAAGAGAAAGTGCACCTGCCCCAAAAGGAAAGAGCAAAAGGCCTCCTCAAATTTCAAATCAATGCCTTCTGAAGCTATTAAACACTCGCAAATTGATTTTGCCTTGTTAATCTACACAAGAATGGTGGAGAACTAAGGATTAGTAAATGAAATGAACTCTTTCTTTATGCATGAATGTACTCTACAGAATGGAATGGCACCAATTTTCAGGTTAAGCATTTCGTAAAAGTGTAAAACGACAGAGAGGAGACATTACATAAAATATGATACAAATGTTTAAATTTTAAGCCACAAGTTAAACATGGTTTCAATGTATTTTAAAAAAAAAATATTACCAGGTCAGTTTGTTTGCTCGAAACTCCAAGGGCAATATGAGCTAATAAAACCACGTAAAAGCTATTGAAATCGAGGACAGTTCTTTGATTCTGTGACTCAAGCGATTTTCTATTCTTCCTTGTAAGAGCTAAACTGTCCCAAGAAATAAGTTCCACAATTTCTGTAGCCATAAGTTTCTTAAGTGCTTGATTCAGAAAGCAAGGCCAGTCTTCAACATGGCATGAAGTTTCAACATCCAGCCCCTGCCTCAGCAATTCACGCAGAGCTGCGATAGCGCCAAGTCTTCGTCCAGCATTTTCAGGTGTGTGAGGCATCCCCAAGAGATCCAATGTGCAGGCTGGAGCAAGCTCTTCTAAAGATTCTTCTATCTAAAAGCAAAATTTAAACATCACTATTTTGTCTTCCATCGACAAGGGCAAAAATGGAAAGGACGAAATTCCAGATCGACGATTAAAGGAACAAGGAGAAATCATGCACGTAATTCCATCTTTTATTTCTCTTGGAAAAGGGTAAAGCCTTTAACTCATATGCTTTCAGGCTATTCAAATAACAAGAGCTGGAATCCCATGAATTCATTGATGATACAACAATTTCAACTCAACCAAATCTATACCATCTGATTTATACTTCTATAACGATAATTATTCCCGTTTGCCATAGGTAGGTGCCTGGGTAATTTATTGGACCAGAGAGAGGAACCTGATAAAAGCATATTCAAGGTAGAAGCATGCAACTATAATGAAGGTTACCTGAGACAATAGCATCATCTTCTCAAGAGAAATCTTGCTCCTCAATAGACATTGAGCACGGGCAAGGGCTTCGAATCCTTGAGAAATATTGTTCTTCTCAAAGCCAGCTTTTGCAATTGCACACTTCAAGAAAGCACCTATAATAAGAAGGAAGAATAACAAAACTGCCAGGAAAAAGTGGCTTAAGATTCTGACCTCCTTTTGTTCTTACCTCTGAAAGAGCCATTGACAGAAGCAAATCATGAACAAATGGCATTGATTCTGGATGTTGCAGGGCTCTTCGCCCAATTTCTAGCACAAGCTTTTCTTCTCCAACCTAGAACGGTCAGTTGAAGGCTGATCAAATCAAGAATTCATAGAAGATTCGCTTCACCTTATATTTTCCATTAAAATTGACAGAAAACATTATGCACATCTATATGGCAGTAAAAGACGACAACGGAGGTGACACAAAGTAGGACAGACCAAAAACCTATATAAGTTCATGCAGGCCTCACTAAAATCTGTGAATGCGTATCACAAAGGAGCTTCATATATCTAATTGGATGAATGAGCTTACCTCCTGTAGAAGGCATAGAGCACCAGGCAACCAAGCCCAAGGAATTTTCAGAGAAGATTTAGGGGGCAGCTTATCTTTGACATTTCCAGCATATTCTGGTTCAAATAGAAGTTTGTCTCTAACATCCATTAGAAGATCCTGAGGGAAGCAGGAAAAATTATATATGCATAGTATGGCATACTGATAAAGGAGCATTTAGAAAGAAAGAAAAACAGATAAATTTCCACCATGCATATCATTAGGAAACTAAGAGAAGAACCATGTGATTGTGACAAACCTGGCGAGATATAACAGCATCTTTAGTATATCCCTCTTCAATCTCTGCATTTTTTAAATGCATCACTGATTTAACAATTTCATCTTTTTCCGCTTTATCATGAACACCAACAACCTGAAATTATACATGACCAAAAGTTATTAACTGATGTGTGAAAGTTTAGTTCCTAAGTAGTGTTATGTTAGGTAGAAACCCAGTGAGTTCTAATGCATGCAAGTTTCGAACTCAAAACGTGTTGCAGACCCTCATGCTGCTGGAAAAGGTTCTCACGTCATGACATGACAAAGTTTCGGAAAGGAGAAATCCACTCAAAGTGGTATTGCTAAGTGGAAGTATAAGTCATCTTAAGGTATCCAAAGCTACATGAGAAATATCGAAAGAAGGATCCCTAATATCGGTATTAATATTGCTAGACCAGAAAACGATGAGAAACCAGAGTGCGGACCTTGACAGAAGCATGAAGCACATAATAAATTTCTAATAGTTTGAAGCCAAGAGTTGATATTGTCCACAGATATGCATACAACCAGATAGTCCCCACAGCCATACCTACTACCAAGCAACGCAATAACTCAAGTAGATTTATTAACACGGGGATAATAGCAAAAGACCAACCATTGTATGATTAGAAAGACTTAATATGAACTGTAAAAAAAACTATGTAACAAGGAGGATGCATCAACTTTCATTGAAGTTTAATGCACAATTAAGTGCAGAGTTTCATCAGTCCAAGCTGCAGCATATTCCTTATTATTGTATAATTTCGAGCTACTCTTGGTCATAGATTAACGATCTATACAGGTTGCATCATCAGCTGATATTGACGACTCTACTGATTGCCATTTTCAGTAGAAAACTGTCATGTGGATAACTATGAGAAAAGTTGCTATCATAAAAAAAAACAGTAAAATATGTGACCGTTCTAGGTAAACATTTTAGCAGCTTTCTCAATTCATCTACTACATGAAGATCCCATGAACAAGAGGAAAAAGATACCACGCTAGTGCAAACAGATATACAGGCATATGAGGAACACCTTGGCACACAGAGATAAAATTTTGAAAAAAATTAACAAAAACGGATTATCTCGTGAAAACTAGTGCGAATTACAACTGCAACCCGCCATACTCAGCCATTTGGTTCCAGTTTCCAATTGTGGTAAGTTCACTGAGCAATAAATGTAGGATTCTCTCTACAGGGACTATCCGATTTAAGAGTTACTATATGCAGAGTATAACATTTTAAACAGCACATAATAGAAAAAGACGATAACGACATGACGTACACCTTTTAACCCCATTTTTCGTACCATTTACCATTTTCAGATATATACACAAATACCGTGTCACGCATTTTTCACACATTACAATAACTGAAACCCCACCAATTTAAGACAAACAACCCCGTAAGCGAAAGCCGTTTATATCACATAACACAAATTATTGATAAAAACGAGAAAGTTAATCGGAAACACAAATATTCATGATGTTAACCTGGTAGCAAGTGACGGGGATTTCGATAAAAGGAACTGGGTTCTGCACACTGATATTCTTACTAAAGCTTTCCTGAACACCACGAAGTTCCGTAGCAGCACACAGCCTCCACGTATAATCAATCGCAGAAACCCTAGCACCACACCCACCGACATAACCATGATTCCGGCATTTCTTCTTCTTTCCGTTGATTCTTCGACTGGTTAAACCATCGACGGCATCGTAGCAGTAAAACTTGGCGATGCTGTCATTACACAGGTAGAGACTATTTACACTAGCCACTAACGTATGAATATTCGCCATGTAGCTCTAGATTAGCTGCTCCATTTCATCGACATTTCAGTACGAGGTTTTGGGGCACATAAACGAGGAAAACGTGGCATTTTAATTCTTCCAAATTCGTGAAAAAAGGGGGTTTCGAGCTAGGGCTTATTTAACTGGAAACTGTTGCGCATTGGGTGTTGGATGAGAGAATTCGGAGCATAATTTTGGGATTAATTTGCAGAACCGTTACTTGTTGTATTTGCTTTTTCAATCTGATGAATTAGGAAAAGTCGAAAAGAAGCAAGAGATGAACACTGTTTTTGTTGCAGGAAATTATATTTGTGACCACTGAATTTAGGAGTTTTTTCATTTCACTCCCAAACGTTTATTTTTGTTTCATTTGGATACCCATACATTCTAGTTAAACTTTTGAGGTGTATATTGTTCACTTTGAAACAACGGCGACAAAAAATGGAATCAGGTGAAACATGAGGCCAAAAGTGTAATTCTCCAAAATAAATCTTACTATCAACTATCAATTTGCAATTGATCATTAAATTGTGTAAATAATTAGGAACGCAACAAATATTTTTCGAAATTTTGCTATTCAAACATGTTTCTAACTTTTATAGAAAATTGTAAAATGGCCCATAAAGTGTCCGGGAGGTGTTCTCGAGTATTCGACATGAGGCCGAAACGCGAAAACATTAAAAAATTGAAGTTTTCGTACTACGTAAAAATCATAACATATCAAATATGTCACTATAAAATAAGGTATAATATTGGTTGAAATGTAAAAATTAAACAATTAATTGCTGATATATTACAAATAGAAATCAAAACTGAAAAAATTACAGTTTGTACCCCTCAAGTTTGTATCAATTTCCCATTTGATCTCATATGTTCACCAAAAAAATCATTTGGTCCCTCATATATCAATAATCTAATATTTTTGGTCATTTTCATCAATTTATCGTTAGTTTGTCAGTTAAAGAAGTCATGGGCACACGCTAATGGAAAATTAACGAGAATGACTAAAAGTGTTGAATTTTTCGAACGTATGGACTAAATATGTTTTTTATGAATATAGGGATCAAATGTAAATTTTGTGCACTTGAGGGATGAAAACTGCATTTTTTCGAATCGAAATTTCATCTTCAATCATCCAAACACGGCTTCATTTAGATTCGAACCCTTACACTATTAGCACAGCCATTTTCCACTGAATTCGCCTCTAAATCATAGGTTCCCGCCTTCCAAAACAAATTCCACCGGCGCTCACTACAAGTGCAGCGAGATAATGGCTCGAGGCGGTAAGAAGGAAGTGACCTCCGCAGCCGCCGCCGCGGACCCGGAGGCGGAGGAGAGATTAAGGCTTAAAAGAGTGGCATTCTCCCGAAACATTTTGTCGCAGAACCCAGTTAAGGTGGGCCATACAACCGCTCTCGCTCCGTCCATAACGGTGATCAAACACCACGGGAAGGATATTTTGCGGAAGTCACAGCGGAAGAACAAATATCTGTTCTCCTTTCCGGGTTTACTCGGTCCGATTTCTGGTGGCAAAATCGGCGAGCTCAAAGACCTAGGCACTAAAAACCCCATTCTGTACCTCGACTTTCCGCAGGTTTTTAGCTGTTGTCTTACTATTATTGATGTTTTTTTTTTTATTAAATGATTATGTGTTAGTTTTTGCTCCTTGTTTAAGTTGGTAATAAATACTGTCAAAGACATCATAACGGTTAGCTTATGTTTATTCGGCTATGCTTGCTCGCAGTCTTCAACATCGAGTACCCTATTTATAGATAGTTGATATATTATATTTTCCATCTCTTACCGTGCAAGGGGACGACTCTGTCAAACAATTCGGCTGCACATGTTCTTCCACATTTCTATTTATATCATGCATCCAAGAAGAAGTTAGGTTTCCAACTTATATGAATTTCAAAAGGTGTTCGTGCTCTCAGTTTGTTTACGAGTCCATTCTGTGTACATTTTCCTTGTATAGATCTTGCATGGACAATTTTTATGGTTTATTTTTGAGTTTTCTTCTTGGAAATTTATCACCCGTGGAGTACAAGGAAAGCTGAATGGAAGCACATGAATTGATTGGTTGTCTGTAATGCTTTGAGTTTCTGTTGTACTGGTTGTTTGAAGGCTAGTAAAAACAGAGATCTTACTATTTTTTGTTCTGTCTCTTGGTTGATTAACTATGTTCTTCATTTTCTTGAATTCTGCAGGGTCAAATGAAGTTGTTTGGGACAATTGTTTATCCAAAGAATAGGTACTTGACGCTGCAGTTCTCTAAAGGGGGAAAGAATGTAACCTGTGATGACTACTTCGAGAATATGGTTGGTGTTCTTTTAGTATTTGTCCTTTTAGTTTTCTTCTTGCTTGTTTGCTTAACTTAATATCTTTTACTTCAGGAACTTGGTGTTTCTACTATCAGATTGTGGCAAATTCTGTAGTAATATACATAAATTTGCACATACACCTGTCTAGTGGCAGCTACCGTTTCCTTAGAACATTATACCAGTATAAGTGACAATATTCTCTTATTAATAATGCCAGAATTTTTGTTGAATAAATTTTAGTAACTGAAGTCGAACTGTCATGTCAGACATAGAATATCCTGGTTATAGTTTGATAGGACGAGCAAAATTATGTATGTAATGGAGACATATATTTGGATAAAATTGTGATCTCATCAGTCCCAAAAACTGTTCAGAATATGAAGCATATGTGCTGAGAGCTTTGCGATATTAGTGTTATATTGATGCTTTTAATGTAAATGATTCGTCTACATTCTGATGCAAAGAATCTCAATTTATGGTTTTTACTATGAATGAACTATTGAGTTAGTAAGCCATGGTTTGTTCAGGGAAGACTGACATGTTTTTAAGCAGAAGAAAGACTGATATGATAGAGTCAGATCAGTTGCTAAGAAATAAATAGTTAGATGATTAATTTTCATGTCTGTTTTTCTTCCCACTTCATGCATTTCTTTTTTTCTCATTAAGGCTTAAAATAAAGAAAATCTTGTTTTGCTCCAGATCGTATTTTCAGATGCTTGGTGGATTGGAACAAAAGAGGAGAACCCAGAAGAATTACGGCTTGAGTTTCCCAAGGAGCTGAATACGGTCAGCCAATAAATTAGTTTGCTTGCCAGTTGAAGGCGAAAATAGTTCCAAATAGCTTTGAGGTGAAACTAAGTATAAATTAAGATATTCTGTTCGCAGGAAAAATTTACAGGCTATGATTTCAAGGGTGGTGTTGGGGCTACAAGTGATGGTAAACAAGGTTCTGAAAAGTCTGCATTGAAATCCGTGGAAAGGGTGTTGCCAAAAGTTTATCTAGAGGAGGATATATCTGACAGTCCTCGTGATTACGAAAAGCTGACAGAAGTGACTCCAACTAGGCAATCAACTAGGACTGCTGGGAAAACTTTCAAGTATATCCTTTGCTTTTCTTTATGTGATTTATTCTACTCAGAGAACTTTAAGATGCCAGCTATTTTCCCTAGTGATGCAATTAGCTGCATATTTGTAGTGTTCATGCTAAATTTAAATGTACATTTTGGTCAGACGCCATAGGAACTATAAGAGACGAGTTATCTAATCGAATTTACATATTTCCCTCCATGAGAAAATGTATGTTGGTTCTGCTTAGAAAACGGGTGTGTTCACTACATTTTTCAGATTTCATCTGACATGACAAAATGTCATTTATCACCTTATGTATTTATTTCGCAATAGGTAAGTTGAGAAAGAAAGTTTCTCTTATCGAACAAATGAAGGTCGTTTCTATGAAATAGCATACATGGTGTCACAATTAAGTAGGGTGGCTTGTATGGTTGATTTTGTGGATTTGTTTCAAGTATCTTCCAAGGATGCCCACATTCATGTGTACCTTGCTGTTTTCTTGATGTCTTTTGTATTAACGGATTAGTAGTTATATGAATAAGAACATGAATATTTGGCATTTTATAAAGGAATGTAAAAGAATCTACGTATAGGGAGCGCAGCGGTGCACTTATCAAAATGGTATGAAAGCCTAAATAATGAGGCCTTTAAAGCAAGTATCTCTGCCACGGCTGCATAGAACTTCTTTGATAGAAGGAACTTTGAGCAGTACCTTCTGTTAAAATCTGGTAGTTATGTTTGTGAAGTATGTGACGTTGAAGTAGTTTTGTATTTTGTCATCAAATTATAATGATGTTATTCTTTTAGCAAATAGCTCCTAATATGTGTCACTGCATTGAGGTCCCTTCAAACTCCTTTTGTTCAATTGTTCTTCGGTTTCGAGTTATGCCAGTGATAAATGGAGTGTTTATTCTCAGTTTTGCAGAACCATCATCTGGTGACGATATTATTGGAACTGAGGATGAAACACCTGAAGAAGAGGACACGAAAATTGACACTGAAACAAGAAAAAAGTATGCGCCTACTGATATCCTTGTTATTGTTTTTCACTTCTTTTTAAGTTAGAAAGCTATAACTTTTCCACATTGACTTATCTGTTGTTCCCATCACACACACACAAGATTGTTGATAATCTTCTAAAAGCTGATTTCCTTACAGACATGCACATACAGAAAGTTCTCCCCATATAGTATTTGACGTCGACAATGAGGATAATGCTAGAGGGTCCCCATCTTTAGGACAATATAAGCTGACTGGGAACACTAAGGATCCCTCCGGTAATGGTCGAACATCTCTTGTCCAAACAACATTATCTTCATTGTTCAAGAAGGTGGAGGAGAAGGTAACGTCTCACATTTTTGTCCCATTAAGTATCATATTTATTATTATCGTTCAGAAGCTTTTCAGACATGTTCAGCGAATATGTCATTCTCGTTTCTCCATTTGATATCATCTTGTCTATATTAGCTGCCTTATGCGGTATTGCGAATTAACTGAGAAATAAATATGTACGAATCGAGATTGATGCATGATATATCATTTGATAAAAATGCCTTATTTACCTCAAATTTGGAAATGCGGCTATTATTCTTGTTTATCTAAACTTGAGAATAAGTGGGGCTATCTTGCTGCTTGGCCTATCCACGACGCTCTTTTTTTTTTTTTTGTAGATTATCTCTCTGAAGATTTTTTTTCTTTCAAATGTACTTAATGTAATTGATGCTGATGGATAGAATATTCCTTCATGTTGCTATATAATATTTCATGTTTGACACAACACTGTTAATTTTCAGAAGGCAACGGATGTGAAACAGACTGTCACTACTTCTGAAGTAAGATCTTCTTTCTTTACTTTTCTATCTCCTTCTTCTTCATCTAGTTTGCTGAAATTTTGACTCGTTGATTATTGTTTATAACCTCAGTATCTCATTGCAATGATTATTGTATTTAGGCCTCCAATCTTATGAAAGGGAGGAGGAAAACAAAGGGAGAAGAATCTGGTCAGTCCACTGCCTCTCTCCCCTTAGCATTTGTGTGATCTTTATGATGCCATGTTACTGCATTTTGAAGTGAATTCTGCTTGAAATCCTATTTTATTAGAATATTTTAGAAAATTCATCACCTCTCAATTGTTCCTTGAGTTTCCACTTTCCGTCTAAAGTTTTCCTTGATCTCTTTTAGACATTTAATCGCATCAAGCATCGGGTTGGGATAACTTTTTTTTTGTTATGTGAGATCCAAATCACGCTTAGAAATCTCCACTTCTCGTTTAATCAGAACAAGGCTTTTCTTAGTTATAGCTCATCAAACACAGTAAAAAGGCTGATATAAGTTGTATATTATTCGGTATCTGGAATAGCCAGGTCTGATCTATTGATTGTCTTGTGTTATCTTCTGATTCCTCATTGTAAATTTTCCTAATTACATTTTCGCTGTTTGGAACATATAGGGACAGTAACTAAAAGGCAGAAGAAGGACTCTGAGGTATTTTTCTTCCATTACACATAACTTTTCCCCTTCTTTGTTAAGCATTATAACTTTATTTGGCTTTCTCCTTTTGCTGATTTACTATCTTTGTAATCAACAAGTATTTAATAAATCAAGCTTAAGTTCTTTCAATGAGAGCTAATTTTCCTTGTTATTTGCTTCCATGTTTCGTAACTGCTGAACTCAAAAAGTGAAAAATGATTATCTTCATTCTTATTGACCATTTTAAATTTTAAAAAAGTTCATGAATGCGGGGAAGTATATCTGGAATTTCTGTCAAGCCATCTTGAGGACACTTGACATTTTATGATGACTAGGGGGATTTTCACGATGTTGAGGAAATTTAAAGTGAATGAACCAAATGTTGCAACTAAATATAACCAGAATGATTGTTTGTATGAATAGATATGTCTTGTGGCATCTAGATCTTATAAATGCTTATTACTCATGCATAAAGTCAATGGAGAACATGTCATTCGTAGGAAAAAAATTCATACCGTTGCTATGAACAGAGTGTTTCTGAAACAGAGATGTACGTTTTGTTCTGACAACATAAAAACGGCCAAACCATCACTTGTCTTTTGACTTTATTTGCTCAATTGTCTTGGTGATATGTGAATAAATTGATTAGTTTGGTAAGTTAATTCATGTCGGTATCATATTTTCTAGAATAATCAGAGGATCTGGTGACTATTTGTCATGCATCCCCAACTTCCTGATTACATAAGTAAGTATGGTAATTAACTTGTCCACTAATGTCTCTTTCCAGAAGGAGTTAGTTGAATCTATTAACCAAAGGAACTCAAAACGCAAAACCTCAGGTCCATCAACCTCAACGAGAGGAGAAGTTGACCTGGTTGACCTGGTCCCTGCTTCCCAGTCAATTGCCTCGAATGATTCCACTCAGGTAAAACCTCAAGTTCATTTTTAAATTCATTAACCTGCTGCATGCAGTTTCTGCAGAATGATATGGGTGGTGGAATTTCTACTCTTGGGTTGCTGTTACTCGTTACGCCTTTTAAATGAACGCACCTAAGATTGTAATGGGAAATCTTTGTATGAGCTTCTGCCCTGCTATGAAACTTAATGATCTTTGTCCGGTATTGCTTATTATTACTCAAACTTTCACTTGGTACTACGCTTTTCCTAACCCAGTAATCTAGAAATTTGTTGCTAGTTGAATGCGAAGGAGATGGTCCAGGAACATAGAAATTCATTGCTAAATAGGATAATGTAGAGGGAGGGTGAATTACAGGCATATTGGTGGAATGTCTTGAGTTAATCAGTTTGCTCTTCGGCCCTCAAAGGTGACATGTCATAGTATGATGCAATATTTGTGCCAATAATTGTGTTGGGATAATTTGTTGATCATGGGATAATTACCAGTTCCCATCTAACGTTTTTCAGACAGTCATGAGTAACGAAAAATTCCTTATCCAAATTAGGTTTTACACGATGTTTCTTGTTCACTGGTTACTTATATCAAGTTATAGCAACCAACCTGTTGTATGATTTAGTGTATCCGAGTGTAGTTATATTACTTTGGATGATGACTTTATAACGCTACATGTCGTACGAAATAACCTATTTTGTTCAGTAGCTTGCCCCAATGGTCAGATTATTTCACGCGGTCTTCTTTTATTAGAATTGATTACTTTGATCAAAAGTGACAATATACTTCATTGTCTACAAATCTGATGCCGGAAGCAATTTTTAAACATTTATAGTTTGGGCTTTATTCTCGTTCATTATATACTGGTACCTAAAGTTTGTTTTTTAATCCATGATATGTTTGGTCAATCATATGGTGTGTGTGTGATGATTCTGTATATTTAGAGAAAATGCCACAACCTTTTGTCTGATGTGACTACAGTTTTGTTATGTTTATTTACGTCGTGATGTATCTACCATGTAGGTTGAAGACGACGACATAGAAGAGTTTTCTAACACATCACAGGTATGAATTTTTTTATGGTATCGAAAATACTTTTAACATGATTAATTTTATTTCTTAATCGTGCTCTGCTGTCAACTATATATATATATATGAATATATATGTTTAGGACCTGGATGAAAGTGATGAAGATTGGACTGGTTGAGAATGTATGATGAAGATATTTCATTCTGGAAAACCAGCAACATGCGTCAGTCCTTGTTGTCAACCTCTAACATTCCGGATGGACTTTAATGTATACAATTTGTTGGGATAAATGTAAGATTAATATATTATATTTTTTTATTTGTGAAGTAGTATAAGTTTGGTGTTTGATTACAAGGGCTTTCTATCAAGGCAAATTAGATTAAAGTCCTACATCATAGAATTAAATTGGAAACCTATTTTTAGGGTTAAAAATCAGGCTGTAGCCTCATCTTTGTAAATACTATCAGAGCTCAAATACACCTTATCTTCTTCAAGGATGACTGACGACAATAATCTTTAAAATTGATCTACTTTGAAAGTAATATGAAGTGAAAATATTATTTAGAAATTTGAATAAATAAACTGGAACAACTCCGAAAAGGGGTTGTATGAATCATAAATTAGCATATCATGTGGAATTTCGATTGACGCTTCACTATCATTATTCTCTCCAAACTGACCATTAACAATTTTTAGTATCCAATTTGTAAATTCTTTTATTTCGTCCACGGTAGAGGATGAAGCACATGACTGAAGCCTCATGTTCTTGTGCAGCGTTAGGACCTTACAGTTTTTCCACTGTGGTAATGAATTGATCGTAGCATGAACAATATCTTGTCAGGATGATTTCATAATAACCAACAAAATTTACCTAAAATCTCCTCTAAGAACAACAACCTTACCACCAAAAAGTTGTTTCGACTGTAAGATAGATCTCATAATGTTATCCAGTGCTTCGAAATAATATTTATGCATCATCGGCGCCTCATCCCATATAATAAGCTTTGGTTTTAGTGGAACTCTTATGCAAATTATTGGAAGTTGAAATCTAGAATGAGGTGTTTGTTTCAATTTATTGACTAATTTATCTTTTAATTACGACTATATATAGCGTGTTGATTATCAATAAGGTTAGATTAAAATCATTATATATTGACTTGAAACGTAATTTGTAAAAGGCCCACAATAATTAGAATAATTCATCCAAGCAAAATAGAAATCAATCCAGATTCAATGATCAAAAAAGAAAGAAATTTATGTTGGCTATTGAAAAGGGTTTTCAACATAGAGTTAGCAACGATGAAAAGAAAAAGGGAACTACAATTTGGTGCTGAATATACTCTTCAAAGTCTAGATTTGCAACAAATTGTTATTTCTCGAATATTCAATTCAGTTGGCCTTACATTTACGTAATCGTGTGTTGTTTTGTATTCTCCTGGCATTATATACAACTCTTGAATCTCTTAAAAGAGTGAAGATGATCAGTAAAATTTAGAGACTTATCATTCATTGCATTTGGAGAAAATGATGGAATCATCCAAGGAGTGTAAAATCGGGATTTTAGGTCCCTTTTGAGATGGCATCAAAAGAATGTTCATTAACAAATTTTAACACTAATAGATCCAAACATAAAATAAACAAGTAAGAAGGAGATAACGGGTCTCGTTGACGTAATCCTCTATGAGGTTTTCGATGATCTGAAATTTTACCGTTAATGAATTGTGAAAAGAAACACACTCGGCACATAACATGATTCATTTGATATTTTTTCTGAGAAATTTTACCATTAACTATCCTCATCTTCATTTTTCAAAATCTCATGTACAGTTAAACTTTTATAAATAATTTACCATGTTGTCACTGAATCGGGACCATTCAGGAGAAACTATTATTTAAACGAGACTATTAATTTAGAAAACATGTCTTACACTAGAGAAACTAGTGTAGGGCCCGGGGTGCCCCCTACCCTACACACATATTTTAAATATTTTTACTGTACCTTTATAATTTTATCTGCATTTATAGTGAAAAAAAAACATTCAAGAAACATTCAAAAAACCTATTCACGATTTCCTACATCTTTATATGTTAAAAAGTATTAAGGGCTCATATCAGACAACATCGGACATTCAAATTTCAAAATAGTGTCTTACTTCAATCAGCGACAGCAAGTGTAAGTACTTCCTCTATCTGCTTTGGATGCAGGACCGCTCTTTCTTTGGATAAATAGTCAACCAATTCCTTATGAAGTAGAGGGCAGTTCTTCTCAAGGTCGGCAAAGGTGTCCAATTTCTTAATATCTGCAGTTGAAAGACCGAAATAAATGTAAGACAAATCGATTTTCAACCCTTAATCTTAAAAATAAAGGTCATCAAAGTTCCACTTTAAAATAAAAGAATTAAACACAAAGATCAATACAGGTGAATTTACCAGTGATCTACAGCGAACCCAAAGCAAAGGTTTTTCAATAGAGATGCATTACATCTCTCTGCAATCATTAGAATTTCCGCAAAGCGATTAAGAGAGATGCTCCTCCAAAGATGAAATTTACAAATATTTTTCAGACGCCTAAGATCATACATATCTGCTGCCGCAAGCAATTTGGCTCCAAATATGCTCAACATAGATGCCCAAATTCATATCCACCCACCATACGACATTTCATTTTCTGGGAGAGTATCAGAGTATATAAACTACAAAA